GTATATAAGAATTTTATCAGAGCTTAAAAAATAGAGATTTTGAATTTGATAATGATCTCAATATCAAATTATATTCATCATCATCTCAATTAATTTATGTTGGTCTTAAATTTATATGGTCCCTGACTCCCAACTGTCAGGGATTCTTTAACATGTTAATATCTGATTCAGAATCATAGAATCCCCCATCCCACCTGCAAATCAGATTTTATGCTGATCCTATAATTTTGTTGCTGCAGACCATTATTTGAAACCCATTTTTTTCACAATTTCATTTGATTTGCTTTCCATTGAGTTGTTGGGAAGAGAAGGGAATGAGAAACTTCACAAAGATTGGAGGGTTAAACTGGAGAAGGGTTTGAGAACATGGATATGCCCCTACTTATCCTAAAAGTAGGGATAACTGAAGCTCTGTGCAGAGTTTTTGAGAATGCTAAGACCACAAAATAGAGAATACTACAAGTTTTGGATTCCTTAGGAGGCAGCTAAAGATAAATTTAGACAGTTTTATTGCTATGGAATTGTGAAAGCAGTTCTCAATAGTTTTGCTGTGGGAAAACATAAACTCATTTTGTTTTCTGCTAATCCACACAACTCACTAAGCACAGGATTGGATTTGTGTTTTATGAGGTCATTTCCTAAAGGAGACATTTCTGTTCTCAACTCAATACATCATTTTGTGGGATGGAAATTGCCTTTTTCCTTGGATTCCCAACCTTTAGAGTAGAGTAGAGTAGAGTAGAGTAGAGTAGAGTAGAGTAGAGTAGAATAGAATAGAATAGAATAGAATAGAATAGAATAGAATAGAATAGAATAGAATAGAATAGAATAAAATAGAATTTTTTATTGGCCAAGTGTGATTGGACACACAAGGAATTTGTCTTTGGTGCATATGCTCTCAGTGTACATAAAAAGAAAAGATACATTCATCAAGAATCATAAGGTACAACACTTAATGATAATCATAGGGTACAAAAAAGCAATCAGGAAACAATATCAATATAAATCGTAAGGATTCAAGCAACAAAGTTACAGTCATGCCATCATAAGTGGGAGGAATTTGGTTATAGGAACGGTGAGAAGAGTAATAGTAACGCAGCCTTAGTGAATAGTTTGACAGTGTTGAGGGAATTATTTGTTTAGCAGAATGATGGCGTCTGGGGAAAAACTGTTCTTGTGTCTAATTGTTTTTGTGTGCAGTGCTCTATACCTTTTGAGGGTATGAGTTGAAACAATTTATGTCCAGAATGCCAGGGGTCTATAAATATTTTCACAGCCCTCTTTTTGACTTGTGCAGTATATTGGAAGGCAGGTTGGTAGTAATTGTTTTTTCTGCAGTTCTAATTATCCTCTGAAGCCTGTTTCTGTTTTGTTGGGTTGCAGAACTGAACCAGACAGTTATAGAGGTGAAGATGATAGACTCAATAATTCCTCTGTAGAACTGTATCAGCAGCTCCTTGGGAAGTTTGAGCTTCCTGAGTTAATGCAGAAAAAACATTATTTGTTGTGTTTTTTTGAAGACATTTTTGATGTTAGGTGTCCATTTTAGATTTTGCAATATTATAGAATCTAAATTTGAAGGTTTCTACTGTTGATACTGTGTTATCTAATATTGTAAGAGGTGGTAGTATGGGAGGGTTTCTCCTAAAGTCTACCACCATTTCTACAGTTTTGAGTGCGTTCAGTTCCAGATTGTTCCAGTTGCACCACAAGACTAGTTGTTCAGCCTCCCATTTGTATGCGAATTCATCGTTGTCTCGAATGAGACCAATCAATGTTGTATCATCTGCAAATGTCAGTAATTTAATGGATGGATCATTTGAGATGCAATCATTGGTATATAGAGAGAAGAAAAGTGGACAGAGCACACAGCCCTGGGGGGCTCCTGTGCTAATTGTACAGATATCTGATGTGATTTTGGTTAGCTTCACCTGCTGCTTTCTGTCTGTTAGGAAGCTTGTGATCCACTTACAAGTGTGTTCAGGTACTGCTAGCTGATTTAGTTTAGTTAGAAGAATGTCCAGTATGACAGTATTGAATGCTGAACTAAAGTCTACAAAGAGGACCCTTGCATAGGCCTTTGGAGGTTTACATGCAGGGATGTGGGAAGGAGTGAAGAATGGATTGAAGTTCTAAGGATTCAGTGGAATTGGGCCTATTTTTAGTAATATGCAGTTTCTAGTGAACACACGTGCCCTTCAGATTGAATTTAGTTCATGGTTGTGAAATTGCACAAATAAAAACCAGAGCCTACAATAAAAGCTACTATTTTAATGGTATTTGTTTCCCTTCTTACAGCATCAGATGAACATATTTGAAGCACTCTGTGAAAGAAACTTAATAGCTCATCCTTTTGAGATCAGTTAAAAAAAATGAAACCATACAAAGAAAACAAAATATATTTTTTATATTTTAAAAGTAAAAAAGACTAAATTTCAGATCCTCCTGAAGCTTGAGTCCAGATCAAATGAACCCTTTACTCCTCCCATTTTTAATGTGTCAATTTCCATCAAATGAACTTGGTAATTTTCCAATGTTCTTTGAAACATTATTTTTTGATTGGCTGTCTTTATTTTATCTATTTATCTTCCCACAAGCAGGGAACTGTTCTAACCATATTGGTCATTAGAGCTATAATACAGATCATCTTTCTTACTTTCAACAATCAGGTGTAGAAAATCTGCTGAAAAGACTGGAGTTTTTATAGATCATAACATGGTAATGTAAACCATAGCTAATTAATTTGCAATATCACTTTGAACAAGTTGTCTTGATAGCAAATATTAAAGTGGGAAAGACCAAAAGGTCACTGCTGTTACTAAGTTGATACAAATTTTAAACCTTTTCCACCAGGGCTCCAGTTTTTTTTTTTAAAATTATTAAAAGAAGATCTACTAAAAATTTAAAAAGCTACAGAATAAGAAATAAAAAAAAAGAAAAAGATAAAAGAAAAAGCAATTAACAAAAAAGCAAGGAAAAGAAAGATATTAACAGTAATTTCCAATCTTTGCAACTGTTGCAAACATAACAATTTTATCTTCCCATATTACACATTATAATTCCCTTCTGCCTATAAACAAGTCCTTTTAATCAATAAATCCAGAAATCAGAAGTTAATTTTTATCCATTTTCAGCAAAAGTTATATAAAAAGTTTCCAGTCTTTGTAAATAGTTTTAAAGATGCATAAACCCGTGTTGAAATTTATTGGGATCTTTCAATTCAGCATATCTACTACAATAAACGTGGAGGAACACACAAGGTTTGATCTTCATTGTTAATATATAACATTGCATTATTTATTTATTTATTTGTTTGTTCACCTTGTATGCCGCCTTAAATATGCATTTAAAAACCATATATAAAACATTAAAAGTTAAATCATTAAAAACAATTAAAACCCATTCACATCATTCATGGCCAGATCTTGCCAAATCGCAGCAGCAAGATCAACGGCCCCAGGCCTGCTGGTAGAGCCAGGTCTTCACCGTTTTTCGGAAGGCCAATAGGGTGGGGATGGCCCAGACCTCAGGAGGTAACTGGTTCCAGAGAGCCAGGGCAGCCATAGAGAAGGCCCTCCCCTGCGGGCCCACCAGCCAGAATTGTTTAGCTGACGGGACCCTGAGGAGACCACCTCTGTGGGATCTTACCGATCACTGGAGCTATGCAGTAGAAGGCGGTCTCGAAGATACGCTGGCCCTGAGCCTTTAAAGGTAATAACCAACACCTTGAATTGTGACTGGAGACCAATAGGGAGCCAGTGCAGCTCGCGGCGAATTGATGTAATGTGGGTGTACCTAGGTGCACCCACGACAGCTCTCATGGCTGCATTCTGGACCAACTGTAGTCTCTGAACACTTTTCAATGTAGAAAAGTGTAGAGCATCATGTAGAGCGTGTTGCAATAATCTAACCGTGAGGTGACAAGGGCATGAGTGACTGTGAGGAGAGCCTTCTGATCCAAGTAGGGTCGCAATTGGTGCACCAGGTGAACCTGTGTAAAGATCCCCCTAGCCACAGCTGACAGATGTTGCTCCAATCTTAGCTGTGAGTCTAGGAGGATACCCAAATTGCGAGCCCGTTGTGATGGGGATAATTTCTCCCCCCCCCAGAACCAAGGATGGACAATCAGCATGGAGGCAATACCCACAGCCACTTGGTCTTGTCTGGGTTAAGTCTGAGCCTGTTGACTCCCATCCAGACCCTCACGGCCTCCAGGCACTGGCACATCACATCCACCACTTCACTGAATTGAAGCGGGGTAGAGATATACAGCTGGGTATCATCAGCGTATTGCTGATACCTCACCCCGTGTCATCAGATGATCTCACCCAGCGGCTTCATGTAGATGTTAAATAGGAGGGGAGAGAGGACCGAGCCCTGAGGCACTCCACAAACGAGGGGCCTAGGGATCGACCTCTGTCCTCCTACCAACACCGACTGTGACCGACCAGAGAGTTAGGAGGAGAACCACGTAACACAGTGCCTCCCACTCCCAACTCCCTTAGCCGTCCCAGAAGGATACCATGGTCAATGGTATCAAAAGCCACTGAGAGATCAAGTAGCACCAAGATGGAGGATTGACCTCCATCTCGGGCTCGCCAGAGATCATCCATCAGTGTGACCAAGGCAGTTTCCGTGCTGTAGCCAGGCCTGAAGCCAGACTGAAAAGGGTCTAGATAATCCGTTTCCTCCAATGACCGCAGGAGTTGAAGTGCCACCACTTTCTCTACAACCTTTCCCACAAAGGGTAGGTTGGAGACTGGACAAAAGTTCTTTAATTCTGCTGGATCCAGGGAAGGCTTCTTGAGGAGGGGCCTTACAATCGCTTCCTTTAATTATGTTTTCAAAAAATATTTAATCTAAGGTCACTATTCATATTTCCAATCTAGAGGAACAAATTATCACAATGAATGAAATCTTAGCAGATTCTAATTTAATCTTGCAGGCCAATCTTTATTGTTGGACTTGATTGTCCTTGTTTTATTCTTATTCCCATACAGAATGATGACTTCAGCCCAAGCAGCACGAGTTCATCTGATTTGAGTGGCTTAGGGACAGGATCAAAAACCCCAGGATTTTCACATTCCACAGTTGTATCTTCTGATGAGGTATCTTTTCCACATATACTTAAAGAGCAGGAAATGAGTTCTGTGCTCCTTGTGAACTAGTTAGTGTGTGTGTGTGTGTGTGTGTGTGTGTATACTTGTTTAGATCTGCTGTTTATAATCATTAGCTTAATGGATATGTTAAGCTACTGATCATGAAATAAAATCTAAAACATGTGCAGGAAAGAAAACAGTTGTAATTACCTAATGAGTTTTAAATGAAGGAACAAGGAAAATGCATAGATAGAAAACAATGTATAATCTTTAAAATTGTAATATAGTACATAAATTCAAAAGGAACATAATATAAAATTGAAAATGCATGTTCACACACACACACATGTTTTTTTACATGCGTTTAGCATCCCTTCCGCTCAGAAATTACAACAAATTCATTCTGAATCTTGAAAACTATTTAAAGAAGAACTGTTTATATTACTAAATTGCAATATAAATATAAAATGATATATTGCATTTTATACGTGCAATAATGAGAAAGAAGATGCTATTGGTTATGTACCAAAATTTCTATAAAATTTTGTTTTCAAAATAGATTGTTAATGGTGTCTTCAGTTATGAAATTTGTTGCAGCATCAGTTCTTGGACTTTCAGATCTAGAGGGCAGAAACCTAGGAGACCACTAGATGGCAGCAAAATGTTAAATGTGTCACAGCAGCAAATGTGTCTCTTGGTTGACATCTAATGATCATCTGAACCTCTGCATCTGAACCTAGATCTGGAAGCTTTATATGTAGGCACTTTTTTCCCTAAATAAGTTTCTTTCTGTAATGTTTTATTTTCAATTGTTTTTAATGCTGACTCTCTCAGAGCTTGGATATGATTGATGATGAGGTGAGACAATAGTAAGCTATTTATTTGTTAACATTTTATTGCATGGTGTATTGAGTTCATTCAAATATATCTTACTATAAAAGATAGTAAGTAAAAGATATTTTTTACTTGATATATTAGGTATAGGTATTAGGATGTGGTTTTCAAAATGGTAAACGTTGCATGAAATTTGGTCAGATGGAACCTTTGTCATTCCAGATGCAGTCTATAAAATCAGCATGTGGTAGTTCTGATAGATAAAAATAATATGAGAAATAAACTCAGATATTAAAAGGATTTTTCCAAATGTTTGTCCCTCCAAAGAATATTAAGCAATTGAATGTTAGGTTAGTGTGCTATAGGCACACTTTTATAAATGTTATAACTTTTCAATTTTGATATGATTTCACAATTAGTTGGGAATGTTATTGAAATTATATTGAAGATATGCTACTATCACCATGATCTGATGGTTCAGCTCTTCTGAACTTTGTATTGCAAAACATTTTTGTTATAGATTCTTGATGATGGACAATCTCCCAAGCACAGCCAGTTTCCAAATCGTGGTGTTTCAGAATGGAGTGTGCAGCAGGTCTCCAATTGGTTAAAAAGCCTGAATTTAGAACATTATATTTCTGAATTCACAGCCCATAATATAAATGGAGAATGTCTCCTTCAGCTGGATGGCAGTAAACTTAAGGTAATTGCTTCTTGGTGTTGGAAAAATAATTCAGAATTTTATTACGCGAATGTATAATGGGAAATGCAATCAAAATCTTGATATATAGAGATGATAAGATATAGTAATAAGTTATAGCAATACCAATTGCTGAAAATTTAAATTATACAACTGAAGAGTTACCATTGAAATTATGAAAATATCATTACCCCTAAAAATCATACCTAGATGCACAATGCTATCTATTAAAATTAATATACAATTTAATATTCATTGTTTAATTTGTTATTTTTCAAAATTCTTTTTATTTTGAAAATTAATGGCCAGAGATAGTACACCTGGCATTACAGTATCATGAATTCAATCCTGACCCATGTTGCTGTAGGAGGTGACCAGGCTGAGTCCAAAAGAGGGGTCAAATGTGTCATAAGTCACAAATCTCTGCGTACCCACAAGAGTTCTAAGTCCAGTTCACTTTGAACTCCTTTCTATCCTTAAATCCTGTGAATTTCCCTTAACTGTTAGTAGCTCAGATTCTTGTAGGGAGCTTAAGCTTGCAATACTTATTTGAACTGCCTGAATCTCCTGATTTCCCCGTGCTTGGCATTGCGTATTTGAGTGCATCTCTTGGTATCATTAAATGAAGGTTAGTCCAAACGGTAAAATACAAAACATAAATAACAAAATTATATAATATAATTACAATTTTCTGCAATTTTTTTTCTTTTTCTTTTTTCGTTTTGCCTTTTTCTATTATGTTTTTGGTTTTAAAAATGTAAAATAGTCAATAAAAATATTTTTTAAAAATAAAATAAAATAAATGAAGGTTAGTCCTATAAGTTTACAGGTGGTCCTAGATTTACAACTGATTGCTTAAAGACTATTCAAAGGTACAATGGACTCCAAAAAAGGTACCTACAACCTGGATTTAAAGTTCTTGTCAGATGTAAATGCCTTATTCTCCAATGTGTAAATAATGTATATATGGAACATCAGAGGTTAACTTATTCTTTGGACTTTAATGTATTCATAACTTACCACTCCCATTCCTAGCTCCACCCCTTGTATATATAAGGAGCCACCCTCACCATTCTTGCTGCTTCTACCTTGAATATTCAGTGAATATAGAATGCCTATCATAATTAAAAAGAAATATATTTAAAGCTCTAACTCCTATTATCTTTATTGAGTCTGATCCTGAAAATATTGCAACAGTTCTAATGGCCAGGGGCTCTTTCCCCCATGGTTACGGGTTCATGTTTATGTGTCAGCGTTCCAGAAAAGCCCCAACTCCAAGTAAAGATGCGGAAGCAAGCATTTTTCCAAAGTTCTCTTTACTAGAATAGGCAAACTGGCACATCTGGGAAAACCCGAATCTGAAAAGCCCGGGTTTTCCTTCAGTAAGTCAAAGATGCCAAAACCATCCCTTTTCCCCCTAGTCGATCATATGCTCCAATCAACGTCCGTTCCATCTCGATCCAGTCCCCTGACCACTCCTTCTCCAGATGCTGGATCACCCTGATCTTGACCGACAGGAAGAATGCTATTATGTCTACTAACAACCCCTCTACTTAATCCCCGTTCCTACTTTCCCACAGATGAGAAGATGGCAGCATTGAAGCTTCTGGCCTAATATGGCTTCCAAAGCTGACATATGTCTGTTTGCAGTATCCCAAGGGAATATAATCATAATTTACGGCTTTTTCACTGGAAACTAGTATTCACTTCTGCTTTCTGACATAAAATGGCCATTGCAGGGAACAGATTCAGCTGATGATTGTAGCGATTCACTTAACAACTTCTGCAAAACTATTGTAAAATTGGGTTGGTCAAATACAGGTTATACAGGTTGCTAACCTGTATAACAATTGCCATGACTTATTACCGTAATTCCAGACTCAGTTGCAGTCATAAGTCAAGGATTATCTATAGTTCTTTTCTTGGGTGGTTTTGATTTTAGAAAACACAGTATAATTTATCCATTCTAAAATACTTTTATGCCATCTCTTACAGCAAAAGCCTTTATTAATACAGAAGGATTTTTCCCTTGTAAATATATATACCACATAAATATGAATGTACATATAGATGTACCTGTATCTATTACAGAAGCACATACACATATTTTTATCCTCTTACCACATGGCCTTGTGCTATCTCATAAATAGCTATTTAATGCTACAATCAGATATTAGCTTATCAGGTTACATCTTATTAGATCAAGCATTGCAGAATGCATTTTTATTGATCTCCAAAAACACTCCAGTAACAGTAATGTCTGTTTCTCATATTAAGGCTCCTAATTAATTTGGAACTAGATGTGATCATTGATAGTTGCTGCCAACATTTTGACATCTGGCACTCTGTCTCACCATACCATACAGCCAAGAGTTCAACAGGTTCCAAGGGAAATCAAGTATCTGGATGGGGAGGAACAGGCTCAGGCTCAACCCTTCCAAGACTGAGTGGCTGTGGCTCCCGGCATCCCGATATAGTCAGTTGACTCCATCACTGACTATTGGGGGAGAGTCTTTGGCCCCCACAGAAGGGGCTCGCAATCTGGGAGTCCTCCTGGATAGGCAGCTGTCCTTGGAGGAACATCTGACAGCTGTAGCCAGGGGGACCTTTTGTCAGGTTTGCCTGATTCGCCAGTTGCGGCCCTTTCTTGATCGGGATTCCCTGTGCACAGTCACTCATGCCCTCGTCACCTCTCGCCTTGACTACTGCAACGCTCTCTACATGGGGCTCCCCTTGAAGAGCACCTGGAGGCTCCAACTGGTCCAGAATGCAGCAGCGCGTGTAGTGATGGGAGCAGCATGGCGCTCCCATGTAACACCACTCCTGTGCGAGCTGCACTGGCTCCCAGTGGTCTTCCGGGTGCGCTTCAGGGTGCTGGTTATCACCTTTAAAGTGCTCCATGACATCGGGCCTAGCTATCTTCCAGACCGCCTGCTGCTACCAACAACCTCCCATCGTCCTGTGCGCTCCCACAGAGAGGGCCTCCTCAGGGTGCCATCAGCCAATCAATGTAGGCTGGTGACCCCCAGGGGGAGGGCCTTCTCTGTGGGGGCACCTACCCTCTGGAATCAGTTGCCCCCCAGAGATAAGGAGAATCCAAGACCTTAGCGCCTTCCGCCGTGCCCTTAAAACCCACTTTTTCCAGCAAGCCGGGCTGGCTTAAGAAGAAATTTTAAATGCTTTAATTGGTTTGTATTTTTAATTTTGGGCCAAATTTATATATATTTTAATTGTTTTTAATATTTGTATTTCATGTTTTTTAATTCTGGCTGTACACCACCCTGAGTCCTCAGGGAGAAGGGCGGTATATAAATTTAAAATAAAATAAAAATAAAAATAAAATAAATTTGAAATCAGTAGCATTTGTACATTAGGTGAGGCCAGCCAAGCTAGGCAGCATTAATCTAGTTAAGGAGTAATGATTGAGATGTTCCTTTATAGGGACACATTTATATTAGAAAAGGAAATTGGTTAAAATTAAAATTTAAAGAGCCAACACGCACAGCATATATATGTATATCCCACCTTTATTGTTTTTATAAATAAATCAGTATTCCTAATACTCCTTCCTGTTTTCCCCACAACAACCACCTTGTGTAGGGACTTGGGCTGAGAGTGCCTATCCCACAGTCACCCAGCTGGCTTTCATGCCTAAGGCAGGACTACAACTCACCATCTCCTGAATTGTAGCCTGGCGCCTTAACTACTAGATCAGCCTGGCTCTCATTATAGATCCTTTGATCTGGAGAAAGTCAAATGTGAATCAAAACTGAATGAAGTGTTTCTTCTTAATGCCCAGGTATAAGCATATTTTTACTGTTGTAGTACTAGTAATAGCAGTTTTGTTCTTCCTCACTGAATGGGTTGCTTTGATAGATCAAGAATAGAATTATTTACTGTTCTATTAAAGACCATGCCGCTGCTTACGGTAATCTCTACACATCCCCATGATATTTTAAAGGACCTGTAATTTTGCCATACATTAAAATGTTTATCTTTTTTTTTTTAAAAAAAAAATTAGTTCCTTGGTATGACATCTTCCCAGGAGAGAGCTGTGATTAAAAAGAAAATTAAAGAAATGAAAGCAAATTTAGAGAAAGCCCGCAAAGCTCAAGAGAAGATGGAAAAGCAAAGGGAAAAACTTAGGAAGAAGGAAAACGATCAGTTTCAAAGGAAGTGCAGAAAGCTGGAAAAGCAATCACCGGAACCAATTCAGGGGGCTAATGAGCAGTGAGACGCCAGAATTAACTGTGCTTTCTAAGTACATGAAGATGGTTTTGGAAAAGCAACACTGTTTTCTTCATTAAAAAGAAAGTTTTGCACCTCTATCTGAAGCTTTTCTTAAGGGAGACAAATCATGACTGGCTATTCCTGCCCCTGTAAACATGTGGATACTTGGGATGTATTTGGCAATTCAGATCACGGTGGCTTTATTTTTTTTAATAGCTCAGCAACCCAGGATGGGATGTTGCTCCTTTAACCTCTCGATGCTGCCCTGGCATACTTGTCCTCGTTTGCATTGGACCTCCTTGTTTGTCTTCAGACACAGAATTATGTAACTTTTACACTATAAATTAAAGTGCCCTGGAAACAGGCCAGGGTTAAAAGAAAAGATTCAATGGACCTGCAAAGGTGAATAACCAGCTAAACTGTGTATCAGTGACTACACATGGATAACAGGGCACATCAAATGTTTCAATCTTTTCCTCTGCAAGTGGGCTTCAAGCCACATCCGTGCTGAGGGAGGATTCCGCTTCATCCTAGCACAGTGTGGTGTCAGGATCTGAAATGATACCGAAATAACAGGTGCAGCGGAGTTCAGTCACTCTCTTGCATTTCAATGGGGAAGGCAGCCCTTTTGTTATCAGCACCCCACATTTCTCCCCTCCCAGGAACTGTAGCTAAAGAACAATGAAAGCAAGGCCTTAATGTGCTGTGTGACACTAGAGAGTAACATTTATTCTCTGAATTTATATGTATAGTTGGATTTCTAAATCTAAGTTGGTTTGTAATAAAGTACAATTTTTCAATGTTTTTCTTGAGGAAGGTATTTAATTGCACTTTCCAGTAGCATGATACCCTTTTCTTTTCTTCTTTTTCCTAAAAGAATTAACATTTATTTGATCAGCAAGATGATCTACCTTTTGACTTCCCTTAAACCAGAAGGCAAAGTTGATTATATCCCTTGGCAGAGCTGAGGTTTCACCTGCTAAAATTGACTTTCAAAGTCACTTTCAAGTATATATATATTTCTTTTTTTCTAAAGGGAAGAAGAAATTTTTGCCATTTAAAAAGCAATGTGTTTTTTAAGCTGCCAAATAATAAAAGATTGCCAGCTATCTTGTAGTAAAATACTGAAGAAGAAAAAAGCTATAGCTCTAAAAATGTACTTTGGATGTTTTCCCCTTAACGAGAATAATCAGGTAGAATCAAAAGCTCAGGCTTAAATAGGTGGGTCAAAGAATAGTGTAATCTTTGATTTAAGAAGAATTATAATTCTTAAGTATTGATCCAGGTGAAAGTAAGTTCTTTAAAATTGTATTGATTCATTGGAGAGATTTAAACATGCACTTAACTTATCCCTCCTTTAAAATCAGTAGGATGTTTGTTTTAGTTGTGGCAATTAATATTTTGCCAAATGATGAACTCAGTTTCCCTTTTAATTGATTAAAATAATATAGATAAGATCTGGTTCTAACTGAGTTTAGCATAGGCTTTTCTTTTCTTTTTATTTGGTTTTGGTGATACTGCATTATATAGAACTATAAACTGAAACTGAATCTGATTTGGAAACAGATAGGTGACTTTAAAGAATGACCACTTTAAAAGAAGTTTGTTATGATCATTTAGCTAGCATCCAGATTTTATTTAAGGCCTACCTGAACTTAATTCTGGAATTTTTACAAGATAATTTCTTAACTACAGGAGCTCAAGTTTCCATTTCAGTCTCAGTGGCTTTGTTATGCCTGTTCTACTTGCAGTGCTCTGTATGCCATATGCATTTTTTAATTGCCAGGACCCTCATTCCTCTCCAATCCTACTCAGTAATTCTGTGTTTGTATTGCAATACTTAAGTTGAAACCTGCAGCTATAATAACAAAACCTTGCCAGCATATCTGATGACTTGAAAGTCCTAACACTTCTTTTTGAGCCAGAAAGGACCAAGAGTACAAAAGAAAAAGAAAAAAGAAACATCAAATGGAAGACACTTGTCTTCTAGGAGACTGATTGAACAAAAAACCTCTGAGAATGGTCAAATTCAACTAATTAATTTAGTGTAGAGGTTAAATGCTCTATTTGAGCAAAAGAGGGATATCTGAAAAGGAACTTTCTTTTACCTCCGAAGTTAGTAATTGAATTAAATGCATTTCTTCTGCTTTTGTTAGGTTTATTGGTAATTTAAGATGGATGTAACATCTAAGGACATGTTCCTCTCCTTTATATAATTTATGTTCTTTATTTTATATTTCTAAGATTCCTGAAGACTATATATTGCTTTGTAGAATGATTTTACATTCCTTCTGTGTAAAGTGTGTGATGTTGCACATAACTAATTTGATGTATGTTCTGCAAATTATCCCCTTATTTTCTTCTGTGTTTTGTGATAATTTTAGACCTGAGCATTGAATTTTAAGTTTTTTAAAATAAAAGTAATTATTTATACATAAGAAAGAAATATATAAAATTAACACTCCCATTGAGTAAATAATAGATACAGAATGGATCAGACCAAACCTTGCGTCTCCACCGGTAAGAGCCAAATTATATCTTATTTGCTGCTTTTCTTTTTTCCTCTTCATTTCCCTCCCTCCAGGTGTTTGTGACAATGCTTCTAATCTCTGCCCATTAATTATTTTTTTAATAGGAATTGCTATAGTAAAGTGAGTTAGGATGCTCATGTCTGCCTAACAACAACACTATTTTCTTTCACAAGTATACATTGTGGAAGACCTGCACTTCTTTAACTTGTGCTTGTTGGACAATCATTAAAGGTACATTAGGTAGCCATTAAATTACCCTAGAATGTTGGCAGAATCTAGTGAATAGATACTTGAACAGGAGAAGGACTGCTACTTCAAACTGTAAGCATTCAATGATTACTATATTGCAAGAAAAAGTTAGAGTGATAATATAACTTTGCTAACATCTATTGATTATCTGGATTGTTGCAGGATAACAGATAAATAAACCAGTAGATAAATTTATTGATTATCTGGATGGTTGTAGTAGCTTTTAACAGGAAGCAGGATCAAGTCCACCTTCCTTCCCTTGTTAACTCAGAAAATGAAAATCTTGAAGGATTCCAAAACAGATCAAATATTTATTTGATTTATTTAGTTAGCTGAAGGGCCATCTTTTCCTGGTCACATCTACTGACCCACCAGAGTGGGTCCTCTGTCCTAAGAAGGTACATCTGGCAGGACCCAGAAGAAGAGCCATAGTGGCTTCATAGTGGCCCCCTCCCTTTGGAACATCATTCTTGCAGAGATTAGATTGGCCTTCACTTTGATACTCTTTCACAAGGCCCTGAAGACCCTGGTTTTGCCAATGGGCTGGGGGAACCCAGAGTGGAATGGACTCCATCAACTGGCTTGTCTGATTGATTGATGTTACCAGAGGATGAGTTTTTTTTAATTGTTTGTATGTTGGGTGTTTATTTTTGTAAGCTGCTCAGAGTCATTGACCACGAGTGGGCAGCTATGCAAATTTCCTTAAAGAAATATAAATAATTGTACCCACAATCAGGCTGTAGCCAAACTATTAGTAAAATAGTAACTGGAGATAATGTGAAAGAAGTAAAATTGAAAGAAGATTAGGCCTCAAAGATTGAGGTCCTTCTCCTTCCGCTCTTATACAGGATTCATATCTAATGAATTTCTTAACCTTCACTTTTGTACTGTGAACATTTTTTGTATTTTGGTTGTTGAGTAAACCTTTACAAGACTCCCAATATCTGTAAAGTAAAACTTTTAATGATATCTGACTCAAGATACTTACTAAAAAAGCACTAACAATCGCTCTTAGACTTATATACTGCTTCATAGTGCTTTACAGCCCTTTCTAAGCAGTTTACAGAGTCAGCATATTGCTCCCAACAATCTGGGCCCTCAGATTGTGCTTTACAACCCTTTCTAAGCAGTTTACAGAGTCAGCATATTGCTCCCAACAATCTGACCTTGGAAGGATGAGTCAATCTTGAGCCAGTCAGAATTGAACTGCCAAACTGCTGGCAGCAGGCAGTCAGCAGAAATAGCGTGCAGTAGTACTGCATTCTAACCACTGTGCCACCAAGGCTCTTGAATGGGGTGAGGGAACCCATGTAAGAACTCACCAAAGCCTATAGGTTATCCTGTTAAAATATCTGGAAGAATAATTACTTGCTGCCAAATAATCCTGTGCACTGGTACTATTCGATGTGTCTTATTCAATGTGTCTTTCTCTTTTTGAAGTATGAGCTTTGTTGCTTTGATTCTTGCATCTTTCCTGAACTAAGGCAGAAATGGTTAAAAAATGAAAGATTTACCTGTGTTGCTGATCTTAGCCTCGTGTGTTAATTAAAACAGCCATGAAATTTAAAATCCAAAAAGACTGCTTGAATTACTATTTAACTTTTAAATCTTTGTGTCTAAAGGCATTGGTTAACATTTTGCAGTTATTCAACTTAAAGTGTAGAGGAGAAATCTTTAGCAAGGATCTGTCAGGGTGACCTCTGTCTTACTGCCTATCATCTGCACTTTGGCTGACTCACTGGATTTAGTCCTTGGCTTAAAAATAATTTGTCAAAGAGTTTGCTTTACTATCAACCCAATGAGACAGTAACAAATAACAGCAGTTTCCAGAGTTCTGTCAAGCAAGCAAGCATCTGAGTGAAGAATGGTTTGCATAGCTAGCAGTTAAGGTTTTGAATCTTTTCTGTCAATGACCCATTCAGGAAACTACTTTCATTATAATGTTCTTAAGCAAGGGAAGATACTTGTTCATTTATATATCTTTACACAAGAGTCCACTTGGATGTATACATTTAATTATATATTCATCCTATCAATGAATTTAGTCATGCCCTGTCCTGGGAATTAGTAAGTGAAACTGCCTGTTATAAATTTAATAATGTGGCTTCTGAGATTTTAAGAAAATTCTGCTTTGAAGTTACATTTGTTAATGTTTCTTCTGGGTATCTTTAGTATCAACCATATTTATGTTGCTAAATCATACTCAGTTAATGACTCTTCTTGATTTTATTGTATTTGTGTTATACTGGAATAATATCTATTTAGACGTCTGTGATATGGCTCTGAAAATGCACTGTTCAATAGTCTCTTGTATGTAAGAAGAGACATTCTTCTTACAAGAGACTTTTGTGAGTGTAAATTATGCAGTGCACATAACGTATTAATCATTGAAATTTATTTTTTTTAACTGTTAATTACTGCTTCTTTCATATGAACTTTTAGAAAAGACTATTATGCAATAACTAATTATTTCAATAAACTTGCTATCCTTATCATTTATGATTCGGTGATGGTAACAGAAGAAGGTGCAAGTTATCTGGAAGACAATCGTAATATAGATCTTTCTCATGGTAAACCCCCCTTCCAAACACATCAGGTGATCACCTTAGAAAGATGTTAAATTATGTATTCATAACTTGTTCATATTCTCCTAATGTCCTCATAATGCTGTGACAATCAAGAAAGAAAAGAAGTAAGAAAATTTACAGAATCTAGTGAAATTATGCTGATTCCTGGTGGAAATGCTGCTGTGTTACCAATAATTTCAAAATCCTGAGATAATTTACAGTGGTTAGTTTTTGATGGACGTTTGCTATTTAGGGCTAGGATTAATTTGAGATTATTGAAGCTGCTCCCATAAAGGACAAAAAATAAAATGAAAAGGAAGGAAACTAAATCAGTACACTGAGAGATTCTCACTGTTTCACATTTTAGTTCCTGTTTTTGGAAAGCCATATTCCAGAACAAACTCTATTCCTAAATTTTAAAGCAGCTTAAATTCAAACCCACTCTATATCTGTGTCCTGCGGCTTTAAACTTTGGTTTGTTGGTCAAAAAAGAATGAATGGCACAGCTATTTTGGAGGTTTTATGTATCACTTGCATGTAATCCTGATATTTAATTTTGTACATCTGGGTGTCAGATCTTTTGCATGAAAGATGCTGAAGCGCTATGTTTGTACTTTCTCAATTTTTCCTTAAATAACTTCCAGGAAAAATATTCTCTCTACATTTGGAGGCCTAAAACAAAAAAGCCAGTTTCCGTTTGTATTACAGATTTTTAAAGTTTGTGATTGATTTGTTAGTGTATATAACTTTATTGCAAACAAGTATTGTTAGACAATGAATGCAATAAAAGAACTTTAAAACTTATCAGCTGAATTGGTCATTTTGAAATGTATAATTATCATTTTACCTAAGTTATGGAAAAAATCCAAATCAGACTGAAATCTAGGTAATTCTATCCATAGTGGAAAAGGAAATGAACTTGAACCTTGAACTAAAAGTATGCTGCTCCTCCAAGAATTCTTGGCTTTTTCTTCAGAAAATGTTTTCAATCTTTTAGGATTTATGGGTAAAAAACATGTTCCATTCCCATGCAATTTTTGGAGGTTCTAGTTTGCCTCCACACCTCCAAGAATTGGACAACAGGGTGTGCTTTCAAGAGTAATTGTTGGAGCTTGTTGAAGGCTGGCATGTCACCCAAAATGTAGCATGATACTTTTGACATGTATGTCATAGGTTTCTCATCACTGAATTAGTTCCAGTCTTCCTATGGAGTGGGGCTGACAGGGTTCTTGCAATATTTAAAAAAAAACAACTATCAGGCTAATTAGGTAAAGGTAAAGGTTCCACTCACACATATGTACTAGTCGTTCCCAACTCTAGGGGGCAATGCTCATCTCTGTTTCAGAGCCAGCACTGTCCAAAGACGTCTCCGTGATCATGTGGCCAGCATGACTAAATGCTAAAGGCGCACAGAAAGCTGTTACCTTCCCACCAAAGGTGGTCTCTATTTTTCTACTTGCATTCTTTTACATGCTTTCGAACTGCTAGGTTGGCATACAAGTAACAGGAGCTCACCCTGTTACGCAGCAATCGGGATTCAAGCCGCTGAATTGCTGACCTTTCGATCGACAAGCTCAGCATCTTAACCACTGAGCTACACCGTGCCATATCAGGCTAATTACATAATCATTATATAACCATCTACCATGTCACCTTACCTTGGTTTTTGCTTTTATACCAATCATTTATGGTTGGAAGTATTGTTCCTGTCTGATAGGAGGGGGTGGGTGGGAGTAAAACAGAACTATTCAAGATTGAAATTACAAACAACTCAGTTGTCACTGGTTTTTTAAAAAGGCAATGGACAGTAAAATAGCAATATAAGTATTATAGGAAGGAGTCCAATAAATTTTATAAAACAAACAAATAAATAGAATTCATTTTTCCATGAGGCCTTTTCTCTTACAAAAGAGTTCAATTGTTATCCATGCATCATAGAATTGTCAGAAAGCTAAACTGCCTTGAAATGAGCTGTCTTGACTGCCAATTTGTGCCCTGTTTTCTACTGTGTCTGTTCTAAGTATCCAGCAGATCTCACACGCTTTGAGGTTGCTCTTGAACAGACGTCTTCAAATTTGGAAGCTTTAAGACTTGTGGACTTAAACTCCCAGAATTCTCCAGCCAGCATAGCTATTCTGGACAATCATGGGAGCTGAAGTCCACAAGTCTTAAAGCTGCCAACTTTGAAGACCTCTGCTCTTGAACAATGCCAGGCAAGGGACAAAATATCTACAAAGTGATACAGCTAAAGAAAATTTAAACTATCATACTCATAGATTGGTAAGAAGAGGAAGACAGCAGTAAGAGCAAGACTGAGTTAGTAGGCCATGTCTGTACTGTTATTAAGGGCAAGTAGAGATATGCCCTTAACCACCCCCAAGTAATATTAAAAGGTCATGATAATGTCACTTACAAATGAAAATGGTTTTGTTGTCCTTAGCATTTTGCACTTGTACGCTTAACTTTTGTGTATAAAAAAAAAAGTCTATAAAAAGAGATCAGTTCAAATTCAACATATTACATTCCTGCAGAAAAAACCTCTGCTTATCTTTGTCCAGTAGAGGGCACCATTCTCCACCAGAATTAGAATTGGAAGAGAACTAGGTGATATTAACAGAATATTGTTCTGTTAAATTCACCACTATATTACCACACACTGCATTAAAGAGGGGAAATCAAAATACGAATTTTGATTCATGTGAATCAGTACATCTAAAGAATGGTTGCAGGAATTGAGTATTTTAGTTTAATGAAATGAATGATTAGGGGTGACCTGATAACAGTGTCCAATATTTGAGGGGCTGCCCCAACAAAGAAAGGGTCAACCTATTCTACAAAACACCTGAAGGCAGGACAGGAAGCCATGGATGAAAACTGAACATGGAAAGAAACAACCTGAAATTAAGGAGAAACTTCCCAATGGTGAGAACAATTAACCAGTGGAACAATTTGAAATCACTGGAGGTTTTGGACAGCCACTTGTCTAAAATGATATAGGGCCGTGATGGTGAACCTATAGCACGCGTGCCACAGGTGACACGCGGAGCCATATCAGTGGGCACGTGAGCATTACCCTAGTTCAGCTTCAGTGCGCATGCATGTGCTGGCCAGCTGATTTTTGGGCCTTCCGAGCCCACTGGAAGTCGGGAAACAGGCATCCGGGAAGGTGGGGAAGGCCCATTTTTTGCTCTTCCCCAGGCTCCAGAGGCTTTCTAGGAGCTAGGGAGGGTGAAAACAGCCTTCATAATCCCCCCAGAGACCCTCTGGAGGCTGGAAACAGCCCATTTCCCGACTTCCGGTGGGCCTGGAAGATCCGGAAATGGGCCATTTCTGGCCTCTGGAGGGCCTCCGGAGGGCCATGTGGAAGGCCATTTTCACCCTTTCCAGGCTCCAAGAAAGCCTCTGGAGTTTGTGGAGGGCGAAAAACAGGCCTAATGGCCCCACCATGCCATCCCGTGCCAAAAGTGGGGGAGCGCAGGGGGGCGCAGGTGCATGCACAGGGCACATAGAATTATGGGTGTGGGCACACACGCTCCCCCCGTGCTCCCCCTGCTTTTGGCACATGATGGCAAAAAGGTTAGCCATCACTGGAATAGGATCTCCTCCTTGAGCAAGGAGCTGGAATATAAGACCTCCAAGGTTCCTTCCAACTATTATTCTGTTTTATCAAAATGGTGGTTCTGACCCACAAATCCCAAGCCCCTTTTCTGCATGCACTGGGCAATGTGATGCATAATAAAAGGGCAGCGTTTCAATAGCAGGGTCACAATTGCTTTCTTCACACATCTTTGCAGCTGCCCCTGCTGAGTAGGAACTCTGACTGGGTAATTATCCACATGACCTGGGGAATATGCATGATTGGATTTATAAAAATCTATCAATAACAGAAAAAAAAATAGAGCAAGTAAAAAGCTAGAAAAAAAGTTATACGCGAATTGGTGATCTAAAGTTTTAAAATGAGTTTGTTCTCATAATGAATTGTATACACAATGAACTGAAATGTAAACCACCTAGTCACACAATGCTGAATGAATTAGCCAGTAAATGTGTGTTTCTTGGCAGAACAGGTATTGAAAATGAGAAACAAAAGTAGAAGCATTTTAAGATCCACAAAAGCTAAGAGAAAAATAGTGAGAAATAAGCACTGAAAACAACAAACCTATCTGTCAATAGAAATATGCTGTCTTCCCACATTATATAGGAGAGAGCTATGGTTACGCCAGGACCATAAAGGCAAGTGGAATGAGGAGCATGTGTGCTTCAACATAAGAGAATCAAGACTGAGTAGAAACTGAATGCAAAATCAGTATGAAAAAAAGTACATTAGAGTCACAAAGAATGAATGAGAATGATTGCAAAACTAATATACAAAGGAAAAGTGAATGGGTCAAAACTAGGACAGGGGAGGAACACTATACTTAGATACGGCCAATGTGTTCCTAAAAAATAAACAGGATTCAAAATCTAAAGAAAAAGTAAAATACTGTATTAAATGACATGGACAAAGAGTAACTAAAAAAAATAATAATATAGTGAATGGTGTTTCATTTCTTAACTACTCTTTTCACCAGAAATTTGCAGATAGCTTTTAAAAAAATCAAGATTTTGCTTCTGGCTTTAGCCATAAAAAAAGCTCTGTAATTCAGAGCTGAGCGTGCCTGAATTGAAATGGTTGATTTTGAGTTCCTTCAGCTGGACAACACAGAACTAAAGCATATATCACTGGATTGGATTTAATCCTGAAGTAATTCACAGATATTTAAGAAAGTAGGTGAAAATGAACTTTCATTTACATCAGCATTGAGCTGTATATATGCCTGGAAGACATCAATTATCATCCTTGGCTATTAACAAAGGATCACAAGCCAACTCTTTAATTGTTTTAAAATAATTTTGAATTTAGCATTTTGTTTGTTCCCACATCGCAATTAAATTTGACGGTACAAAAATGTAAGATAGGATTAGAATCCTTGGTCCACCTAGATGTAACACAAATTTGAAGCTCAAATGCATGTAATAACTGATTGCTTTTCAATTTAGTTAGAAACAGTAGAGGGTTTGCAACATGTGAAAGTACAGCTAACCAACTTCCTTTAGCTTATAAAATTATTAATTAATGTGTAGTAGTTGGGGCCAGGGTATAGATGTACTTCCAGACTGGTTACCAAAATGCTTTGTCAGTATAATCCCTATTTGTATTTTCAGCATTTTTGTGATTTGTCTTACATAACTTTTCAGGACACTGAAAGTGCAAGAATTCTGTGCCACAACAGGGAATTGATGTGCTGCCTGGTTAATTAAAATACACTTTCCTTCCTTCGCAAAGTAATTTATTTGTTACTGTGCCCAGTCTGCCCCGAAAAGCATAAAAGCAGCTCCAACTTTATTCCACAAAAACCCTGTGAGATAAATTGGATTGAGAAAGTAATAATCTTAATTACCTACATAATATGTAGTGAAACTTTTTTTTAAAAAAAATGTAACTCCTAACTGACTGGACTAGTATTATCAGGAAGAATTTCAGAATAGAAAATAATTGTCTGAAAACAAAATTGGGATATAATATAGCAGGAAGATATTTTCATTGTCCCTCTGCCTTCTGCCCACATTTTGTTTGTTTGTTTAGAGATTACCTTGACCCCATCAACATTCAATGCTAAGAATAATTAAATAGCGCTTCAGATGTCTTAACACACTGACGATAGGAAAGTGCAAGATTTTGAGTGGAATAATTAAATGATGTTGAGTTGGTACACTAAACACAGGGGGGCAGTATTTTATTATTTCTGGGCATCAGCTACTACTGGCAGCTAATTTGAAATGGAACTTTTCATTAAAAAAAAATATCAGAAATAGTTGCAGCATTTCAGAAACTTCACAGAGGTAGGACCAAATGTGAAAGCTTTTGTGCATTTGTTATAAAATCTCTTCCTATATTTCAATAGAAAAAGAAAAGGTAAAGAGGTAATGGATATTGGCAGCACAAAATATTCACGCTAAAACCTGGCAGCACTTTAGGAGAATGGAGATAGTTTAGCCACAAAAAGGCTTAAATATATGAGACTGGTTATAAAACTGTGAAGCCAGTGCAGACTCATCCAGAGGCCTAATTTTAATATTTGTGACTGCAGATGGCAGAATGGCTAAGCATTTTTTTTTCAATACGTGAGTTGGCCAGCAACATAATTAATGTATGTTAGAGACAAAGACCATCACAGCAATATCTATGAGGCCATGAGCAGGTAATTTCTGAACTACATTATGATTGGTCCTAGGCTCTTTACCAGGCAATTATGCTTTAACAGAGAAGAATATTCAAATTAGCCAAGAAAGAGAAAAAAGACTCCATGAAACCATTCTAGATTAACTAGCAATCACTGCTACTTGATGAAACTGAAATATGGTGCAAACAAACTACCCCCATTGTATTTCTGGTTGGAAATGGTTTGAATCTGCCTTGAATGATAAATACCATCAGTGGAGAAACATAATCCATTTGGTTCCCAGTTCCAGCAAGCAAGATAGATATTGTAACCCTGCAACTAATGAAATTGTATTTGCTGTAGGTTTTTTACATTATTGGAAACAGTGAGAAATAAATAAAGACAAGTGGATATATATCTATTTTTTATTAAATGTTTATGTTGCCCATCTCACCAGTACAGTGATTCTGGGCGGCTTACAAACAGTAAAAAGATAAATATAAAAATTTTTGAAAGTTATATAAAAAACTAGAACCCAGGAGATGGATGACACAGGGGTAAGATCTTCTTAGCTCATTAACCATCTCCAGTACCCTCCCTTGGGGCTTCAAATCAGGCAAAACCCTCTGGAAAGCCAAAAGGCAGGGGCAAATTGGGGCAAGACGGCTCCTCAGATGTGACAGGAATATATGCCAAATCTCTTATATTTTGGACAACTGCTAGATAAATGTGGTTATTCTTTTAACTTTTAGATAAATGGACTGGCTTACATGGATTTCAAACCTGAGTTCATCAGGTTTTTATTCATCAAAGCTGAATTATTAGCAGTAATTCAGACAGATTGATCAGTAACAGCAGGTATATTTTGAGGTTATATTATTTTATAGATTTGTTTTTGTACTATGTAATGCAGGTCAAAGTTTACTATGGAGGACCCACATGTGTCAGAAAGCTTGGCTCAGATTTCAGTGACAATGACTATTTCAACTGAGACAAAGCTCATGGGTGTGTCAATTACATGTGGCAAAAAAGGGCTTTTTGAAACACAGTGCCAATGAGGAGATGTCTCTCAAAAAAGACAGCAACAGAGCTTGCTTGAATGATTGATCCATCATCCACATACACTTGAGTGATTTTAGGTTTGTCAGAAAGGATATCTTTGACAAGAAGGATCTGGAAGAAATCAAACAGAAATCAATTAGCCAGACTCTTGCATAAAACTTTGGCTAATAAGAATCCTGCTAGAACTTTCCATTCTGCCACACGTCCTGTTTTTTTAAAAAAATTAAGGAACACCAGAAAACTAAATAAAATAGATGCTCTAGAATGAATTACAGAAATAAGAACAGAGTTTCAGAATATCTCAGTTGTGATTTCTTACTTCATTGTAAAAAGAGGTTTTCATGTTTCTCATCCATGTTTCATGATGTAGAGGTAGTTCTCAATGTATGACCTAAACTGAGCCTGTAATTTTGGTTGTAAGTCTTCACGGTCCTAAAGCAGGTTACTATATGACTGCTATGGATTTTATAATTTATTTATTTTTTTGCAGTGCTTGTTAAACAAATGTGGCCATCATTAAGCAAACCCATTGTTCGCTAAGGGACATTTTTTGCTAGAAACTGAAAGTAAATGCTGGTTTCTGGCAAAAATGTTGCAAACACTGCTTTCAGTTCTTGAATTCTAGTAATGTCCGATATGTGGAATAGGATACTGGTTAGACTGGTTGAGTGCAACTCTTCTGAAATGTTTCTTGTTCTATTTATTTATTTTATTTATTTATTTGTTTAAATTTCTATACCGCCCTTCTCCAAATAGGACTCAGGGCGGTGCACAGCCTAAGTAAAAACAAAGCATACAAAATTTAAAAAACAGTATTAAAATAATTAGATATTCTGGCCGTAAATTAAAACAACCCAATTTAAAACCAATTTAAAATTTAGCTCAAGCCAGCCCAGCTAGTTGAAATAAATAAGTTTTCAGGGCCCGACGAAAAATCCGGAGGTCTGTTATTATACGTAACTCCGGGGGAAGGTTATTCCAGAGGGTGGGCGCCGTCACAGAGAAGGCTCTCCCCCTGGGGGTCGCCAGCCGACATTGTCTGGCGGACGGCACCCTGAGGAGGCCCACTCTGTGCGAGCGTACTGGCCGGTGGGAGGCTATTGGTGGCAGTAGGCGGTCTCGTAAGTACCCCGGCCCTAAGCCATGGAGCGCTTTAAAGGTGGTCACCAACACCTTGAAGCGCACCCGGAAGACTACCGGGAGCCAGTGCAGCTCGCGCAGGAGAGGTGTCACATGGGAGCGCCTCGTCGCCCCCATAATCCCCCGCGCGGCCGCATTCTGGACCAGCTGGAGCCTCCGGGTGCACCCCAGGAGGAGCCCCATGTAGAGAGCGTTGCAGTAGTCCAGGCGGGAAGTGACTAGTGCCTGAGTGACTGTGCGTAGAGAGTCCCGATCTAGAAAGGGGCGCAACTGGCGTATCAGGCGAACCTGATAAAAAGCCCCCCTGGCCACGGCCGTCAAATGGTCTTCTAAAGACAGCCGTGCGTCCAGGAGGACGCCCAAGTTGCGAGCCCTCTCCGTGGGGGCGAGTGATTCGCCCCCAATAGCCAGCGATGGCGTCAGCTGGCTATATCGGGACGCTGGAAGCCACAGCCACTCGGTCTTGGAGGGGTTGAGTCGGAGCCTGTTTCTCCCCATCCAGGCCCGCACGGCCTCCAGGCACTGGGACATCACTTCAAGGGCATCATTGGGGTGGCCTGGGGTGGAGATGTACAGCTGGGTGTCATCAGCGTACTGATGGAACTCCACCCCGAAGCCACGGATGATCTCACCCAGTGGCTTTACATAAATGTTGAACAGAAGGGGCGAGAGGACCGACCCTTGTGGCACCCCACAAGCAAGGTGCCTCGGGGTCGACCGCTGCCCCCCCGTCAACACAGATTGCGACCGGTCAGAGAGGTAGGAGGAGAACCACCGCAGAACGGTGCCCCCCACCCCCAACCCCGCCAACCGGTGCAACATGATACCATGGTCGATGGTATCAAAAGCCGCTGAGAGGTCTAACAGGACCAGGATAGAGGAGCAACCCCTATCCCGAGCCCTCCAGAGATCATCCACCAACGCGACCAATGCCGTTTCCGTGCTGTGCCCAGGTCGGAAGCCGGACTGGAGCGGGTCTAGATAGACAGTTTCATCCAGGTACCGGGGAAGCTGTTGTGCTACCACACTCTCAACAACCTTCGCAACAAAGCGAAGGTTGGAGACTGGACGATAGTTAGCCAAAACAGCCGGATCCAGAGAGGGCTTCTTGAGGAGGGGCCTCACAACCGCTTCTTTCAAAGCGGCCGGCAGGACCCCCTCACTCAAAGAAGCGTTAACAATCTTCTGGAGCCAGCCTCGTGTCACCTCCCGGGAAGCCAGTACCAACCAGGAGGGACACGGGTCCAATAAACATGTGGTCGCATTCAGCCGTCCCAGGACCCTGTCCATGTCCTCGGGAGCCACAGGATCGAACTCCCCCCAGATAACACTCTCAAGACCTGCCTCAGTCATCCCATCCGGACATACCCAGTCAGAGGCCAGCCCTTCCCGAATCTGAGCGATTTTATCATACAGATACTGCACAAAGTCCTCAGCTCGGCCCTGCAAGGGGTCATCCCGCGCTTCCAGATGGAGGAGGGAGCGGGTCACCCTAAACAGGGCGGCCGGGCGATTATCTGATGACGCGATAAGAGCGGCAAAATAGCTAGATTTTGCCGCTTTTATTGCCACTAGGTAGGTCTTAATATGAGACCTCACCAGTGTTCGGTCGGATTCCGAGCGGCTGGTCCTCCAACTACTCTCCAGGCGTCTTTTCCGGCGCTTCATCTCCCTAAGCTCCTCGGAGAACCAAGGAGCTAGGTGAGTTCGGTGCCGGGTCAGAGGCCGCAAAGGCACGACACGGTCCAAGGCCCCGGCAGCCGCACTATCCCAGGCGGCCACCAGGTCCTCAGCCGAGTCGTGAGTCATAGTCTCAGGAAATGGCCCAAGCTCCATCTGGAACCTATCAGGGTCCATCAGGCGCCTGGGACGGAACCACCTGGTCAGTCCCGCCTCCCTGCGGCGGGGTGCAGCGGTTAGAAAGTCCAGTCGAAGGAGCGAGTGGTCAGACCATGACAAGGGTTCGATGACTATATCCCCTGTATCAAGGCCACTCGACCACTGACCAGAGACAAAAACTAAGTCCAGAGTGTGTCCACCCATGTGAGTGGGGTCATGAATTAACTGAGTAAGGTCCATGGCCGTCATGGAAGCCATGAACTCCCGAGCCACCTCAGACGTTTCGCCGACAGATGGCAGGTTGAAATCCCCCATGACTAGAAGTCTGGGGGTACCAACCGCCACCTCAGCTATGACGTTGAGCAGCTCAAGCAGGGCCGTTGCCACGCGGCAGGGAGCCAGGTACGTGATCAACAAGCCCATCTGTACTCCACGACCCCATCTCACAAAAAGGGACTCACATCCGGCTATCTGTGGAACAGTGGTCTCCCTCGATCAAGACTTTCCTTTATAATAACCGCCACCCCCCCACCCCTGCCCTGAGCTCTCGGCTGATGGAATGCTCGGAAACCTGGTGGGCACATATCCACGAGGGGAACCCCCCCCCTCATGGCCCAACCAGGTCTCCGTAATACCTGCCAGGTCCGCTCCCCCCTCCTGAATAAGATCGCAAATGAGGGGGGCTTTATTTACCACGGACCTGGCATTGCACGACAGCAGCCGAAGGCTCGGGCCCTGAGAGTCCCCATTTAAAGAAGCATTTTTTTCTGGTTCAAATAACCTGCAGATTTTTTTTGTACCATCTAATTTAAAGGTAGTCCTCGAATTATGACAACTGAAACCAACATTTATGTTACCAGCAAGACATTTATTAAGTGAGTTTTACCCCATTTCACAACCTTTCTTGCCGCAGTTGTCAAGTGAATCACTGTAGTTGTTAAGTCAGTAACATGGTTATTAAGAGAATCTCCTCATTGGCTTGGCTTGTCAGATCACAAAAGGGGATCAAGCATGATCCTGGGACATAGCAACCATCATAAACATGTTGCTAACTGTCTGAATTTTGATCATGTAACTATGCTGCAATGGTTGTGTGAAAAATGGTCACAATTCACTTTATTCAGTGCCTTTGAAAGGTCAGTAAATGAACTGTTGTATCTTAAGGACTATCCATATTCACACCGGATGAAACATTATAGTATATCTTGTAAAAATAATTCTTACTAACTAACCTCTGAGCCAGGAGGATTCTTTGGATCATAAGTAAAGAGCTTCGCAGCATTGGGATGACATCCTAACCAAAGGTCTCCAGTTTTACGGTCAACCGATATGTTATCAAGAATAGTCTCTAATTTCAGGGCCTACAATGAACAAAAAACCAATTGTATGTCTCTTAGGTTAGAAAAAAAATACAAGACATTTGCTGTACAATTTAATCCATTATTCTAATACCATTTTCCTGTAGTTCTAGATAACACCATATGCTGTCAGGAAATATTTATCCTTCCTAATTGGCCCTGGCTAACAACTCTTCTAGTTAAAAGACCCAATTCTATTAGTGATCCTGAGTTATCAATATTAATATCCCATTGACATTGGTCATAAACTTACCAAATGCCAATAGTATTAATTCACTAGGCTTAATAGAAGATACATATTCACAGAAATATATAACATATCATGGAAGAGTCCTTACATTAAAAAAAATTCAAGATCTAACTTTTGTTTCAGATATAAAGAATACCAGTCTTTTATTTGAACCAAAGAAAACCAAACTTACCTTCACAGGAGATAAATTCATATTAGACATTTTTTGAAAGACTTGAATGCTATGATCCAAAATATCAGCAACGTAGATAAACCTTGAAATGACATATTAATTTTACTTATTTTATTTGTAAATTATTTGTCCTTACTCCTATAGCTCTGTCACAGAGTATATGGAAAAATAATTAAAAATAATCTGATAAAATGACCAACCATAAAACCATTTGGTATAAAGAGGTTGGGGCAGGGGTAAAATGCTACCATTTTGGGCCGGTTCGCCTGAACCAGTAGTAAAAAAAGTAAAAAAAAAAAAGTTCAGGAGATCAGTTGAGTGATGCGTGATCGTCGGAACTTTTTTTTTCTTTTTAAGCATTTTTTGCTTTTAAAAAGTTTTTTAAAAGGTTCCCAAGCTCACGCACCACAGCTGATTTTCCCCCTCGCTGTCTATTTACCTCCCCAAGCCTCCTTTTGGCGCATACTGCGCATGCACACATACAACATGCGTTGGTGCGCATTGTGCATGTGTGCGCCCAGCATGTGTTTGGCATGCATGCACAGCCAGGGAAATTGGTGGCAAACCAGTTCAAATTTCACCCCTGGGTTGGGGGCTGTTGGGGTTCAGGAGAAGACCCTTTTCCATTGTGGCCCCTGCCCTGTCCACTATTGCGTTAGGGTAGGAAAAATTTATTTCCATATTTTCAGTGCATTCTAATCACAACATCTTTTAAAATGATTCCTAAAACAGATTTTATTTGTTAATACCAGTCTGGTTTCTTTTAAGGCAGTCTTTCCTAATTTGATCGTGTTAACTCAAGATTACAGGAGTTGTAATTCAATATATTTAGAAGGCTACAAGATTGGGGACTAGATTGGTGAAACCATCCAACTATATTTTTAGTTTTCCTCCCATCAAAACAGCAATTTTTAAAAAGAGATTAGTTTTGAGGAACATTTATTGCCTGACCTAACCTAACCTGCAATGGATAGCATCACCTAGTCAATCTTTACTGATCTTAATGAAGTTAAGCAATATTGATTAGATATTTTTTTTAAAAACTTTCCAATCAATTATATTATGTGTTCTCAAACTTAATAATGAAAGCACAATGTCATAGAGAATTAAATTAAGGAAGAACTGAGTTATAGAAAGAAACTTACTTTCCATCTGGTGACATATTAATGCCATTGGCACTGTAAAATCCTGATGCTACTTCTTTAACTTTCTTTGGGCTATAGTACACAACATTGGTCCAGCTCAAACCCCAAAACATCTCCACATATACCGAGACAGTCTCTGAACGGAAGTAACGGTCATTGGTGGCATAGAAATGCTCAGGTCCCACAGCAAGAACATCATTGACGCTTATGACAAAAATGAAAAATATAAAACATAACATTATACAACTGATATTGCATTAATTGTTTTTTAAAAATTTTTATGAAATTTGCGCAATTGCATCCAACCTATTTTGTGCTCTAAACATAGACCTTAAGGACACAGATATACTTGATAGGTTCTGTCTGGCTTTGTGGTCTGCAGAAAAAAAACACTTAAGAATAAATATTGTTACAAAAGATAAGTATTCATAAAGGGTCCAAATGAATATATTCTCCAAAATTCTAAAGGTGAAATTGAGTAATAATCTATGAAGAAAACATTGTCCTCTGCTATAAATTCTGCCTCTGTCTGAGGATGGTGGTTGAATGTAACATGAAGGAGATGCTTCATGTAACACAATGAAAACAAGTAATCGTTTTCTACAATATGTAATTTGCTTTAGATTCACATTGTAGCAACTAATAAGGAATCAACTTGATTCTTACTTTATCTTACAATATTTATCGGTTCTACAAACTTTTTGGGTTTTTGTTTTTGTTTTACTTTCTATGCATCCTGCTGAAATGTACTAGCATTAAAATCATGTTGTACTGAAAACCTATTATTTTCACAGCCTTTATCTTTTTTATGTTATATTGATTTTATTGACATTTGTTTGATTGCTGTGAACTGTCGTTATGCATGTATCTATTTCAGCATTTCATATTCCTTTCAATCCCCTTTTCCAGTTACTCCCTCTCTCCCTTTCCAATCACAAACACACACTTAAAATATTTTTTTTCTAATATACCTTGATAGGAGCTCATTAGTGACAGTTCTTAAGTACAGCAAATATTTTTCATCCTGAAAAAATTTAAATATCTCCACCGCTGATTTGCCTTCTGGATGATTAACCACAAAGAGATATATGCTATCATCTAGAGAAAATGAATATTTGAGCAAGGTTAACACAATTCACAATGATAACATAAACATATAGTTTTCTAAGTACTCAATTAATAAGCTAAAGTTTCACTCACCTAGTGAATTTACTAGTATAACGGATATCGATAATTTCTTCTTTTTTCTTCATGCTACTCTAAATCTCTTCAACCCCTTAGTAGAGGTAGAACTACAGACCACCAAAATTAAAAAGCCCCCTTAACTTTTTCCTGAAATATGCATAACTTATTAGGAGGTATATCATAATTTCTGCTGGGGTGCTGGTTGTAAGTCATAAGTCTAGGCACCTATTTGTCTGGACCTGATGTTATAACACTTTGGTGGCAATTGTTAAGTGAATCACAGTAGTTATGAAGTAATCCATGGTGGTTAAGCAAATGTAGGTGTAAATCCAAATTTGTGCTTCTAAATGATTTTTTTTCTAGAAACTGGGAAAAAATTGCAAATCATAGTCACACGATCATGGGGCATATTGTAAAGACAAATCAGTTGCTAAGTATCCAAAATGCAGTCATATGACCATGGGATAGAATGACATTTTACCATGGCCAGAAGTGCTTTATGGGCTGCAAAGCATCTGTTTCAGGTCCATCTTAATTTCAAACAGTTGTTAAGCAACTGTTCATAAGGTGAGGACTATCTGTACCAGATATATGCAATATGGAATATTTTGCCTATACTTTTGGCAAACCCAAGATCATTATCACCAACTAAAGCTAACTCTGATCAGTGTAATCTACTCAAGCTGCAAAGCTAACAAGAAGAAAATTAGGGCCGTGCAAAAAAATTCCATTACTTACTCTTCTCCATATAAAAACTGATCCCATGAGGATTAAAAGAATCCAGATCAAATCCACCTTCAATCTTCAGTTCAACTGGACGAGGATTTTCTGTCCTTAGATTCATCAGTAATATTTGCCCTCCTTTATGAGGTTCAAAGGTTTTCAAACCAGGATATTTCAGACCCTTGAAATTGAAACGAAAGAAGAATTTTGGTCCAATGATAATCAATAAATATTCTATCAAAATTGCTGAGATTAAGGATTTCCCATCTGTTTTGACACTTTTTACCTGAAGCACAGCAAAAATGAATACAAAGTCCAGAGGTATTTTTGCAATAGTTCAGCTGATATTCCAACCTGCTCTTTCCCAGACAGTCTAAGTACAATAGGACATGTTATGGTAACCTCATATTTAGGTTAATGTAATGTAACCTAAATATGAGGTTAATGTAAATGTAATCTAACCTAGCAGAATAATTGTTTCCCCTGGATTGTCTTTATTCAGAATTTTCTCCAGTTTTCTGTATGATAATTGCTACCGTAGCTGCCAATTATCAAAGCCTTGATCAGTTTTGACTTTTATATAATTGGTAAAAGAAAGTGATCCCTAAATTATTAGCCACAAATATATTTATATCACATGCAGCAAACTTTGTAAACTGTTAGTATGGGACAGTGTTGACACCTTCTGGTTAGTGCAAAAAGCAACCGTGGAGCACATTTTCTCCAAGCAAGGTCTCATTATTTATACAAGCTAGGATATCTAAACATAAGTCCCCGCTTATATATTTATCTTGGCTCCACCCACTGCTTAGAATCCCTCCCCTCCCCGTGTCATCCAAGTCAAGTGGAGAGATGCAATCCAGGGAATCTCATGAGCATCAGAAAATTGAGTCTGGTTTAACTCATTCTGATAACCTTAAAGTTAATCCATAATGGGCACAACTTTTTACATAGGAGAAATAGGGGGAAATCAGGACACCAATGACAGCTTACAGAGCTGATGAAAGCCAATCCATTAGGAAGTATATCAATATCTTCGGCACCATTGTCTGCAAATGAAAAAAAAAAAGTGTTTATTAGAGATATTCAAATGAAGTCCTAATTTAGGGGAGAATATAGTTACAGGTAGTCCACAACTGAGCCCAAATTTTATGTTGCTGTGAGACAGTTGTTAAGTGAGTTTTGCCCCATTCTACGATCTTTGTTGCCGCAGTTAAGTGAATCATTGTAGTTGTAAAGTTAGTAGCATGGCTGTTAAGTGAATCTGTCTCCCTCCTTAACTTTGCTTGTCAGAAAGTCGCAAAAAGTGATCACATGACCCCCTGGACACTGCAATCATAAGATATCAAACAATAGCCAAGCATATGAATTTTGAGCACATGATCCCGAGGACGCTGCTGTGGTCGAAAGAGTAAAAAACAATCATAAGTCACTTTTTTCTGTGCTTTGTAACTTTGAATGGTCACTAACTGAACTGTTTAAATTGAGAACTAGCTGTACTGAAACCAGAGCAGTCCATGAGTGTCACTGTCTGACAATAGGACTAAATGCCACTTCTACCTGGTTTCACACAACTTTTCCTTTACTGTCTCCCTCACAAAGTTGTGACTGCAAGACATTCTCTGTGTAAGACATTATAGGAAAGATGGATCAGCAAGAGCCACAGTGGTGCAGTAGTTAGAGTGCAGTACTGCAGGCTACTTCTGCTGATTACCGGCTGCCAGCAGTTTGGCAGATCAAATCTCACCAGGCTCAAAGTTGACTTAGCCTTCCATCCTTCCCAGGTCGGTAAAATGAGGACCCAGATTGTTGGGGGCAATAAGCTGACTCTGTAAACTGCTTAGAGATGCCTGTAAAGCACTGTGAAGTGGTATATAAGTCTAAGTGCTATTGCTATTGCTATCATTAGGTTGTGCAATAAGCAGCTTTATAGCCAAATCTTTACAATACTTCATTTAAAGATTTCTTAAGGGCTGACATCCATTTGAGAGAGAAAAAACAGGTGTCGCCCCACTTCTAGGAATAATTAAAATCTGAGTGGAGGGATAACAGTAGGACAACAATAGGCAAAATCTACACAATTCAGCATCCTGCCTTCGGAACTATTCCGAGTAATAAATATCCCATCATATCTGTTCTATGCAGGAAGTAGGGAAAAAAATTCTAGGCCCTATTCTATTCCACGCTGTATGCATGTGTTTGCTAAAAAAAAAAAAAAAAGGGGGGGGGGGAAGGCATTGGCATGAGAGAAAGCTTCCTGTCTTCTTACATATTAATGCCATCAAGGAAACTGTAATGATGACACCATACAGCCATTGTGCAAGTGTGGTAGCTTTCCCAACTGTTGCAAACATGAGTGTAGGTTGCAGTGAAACATTTTGCAGGTGGGCACATGCATACACATGTGAGGGCAGGTAACTGATGGAGATCAAGGACTTGAAGGGGATGAGCCAAAACATGAATGTATTTTTCTTAAATTATAGGGAAAAATCGAGCCAGGAATTCTCTTTATTCCTTCAGGCAGGAGTGGGTTTCACTTACCTTTGCTACCGGTTCGCTGCATGCTGCCTTCAGGGATTGTAAAACAGATCAGAAACCAGACGATTTTAAACTGTATTTGCTTATAAGATACTTGTGAAGAGCTCCAAATTTAGATTGGGCAAGGCAAGAGTTTCAGGAAGGATACATCAACAACCAAGAGCTAAAAGTTATTTACGTGGAAATTTTGTTCTGACAATAACTATGTTCTGTCTAAAGGTGGACTTGTGAATTACCATAGAATACCTTAAACACTGCAAAATAATTTATCTTTGCCTCAGTAAAATATATATTAATTATACAGACACCGCTATTGTAGTACTTTGGAATTATTAATAATCCCTGAGGAACTATAGTTATAATTTTAATGCAGTTTTTGTTCTTCGCTTCTAACTGTGACTTTAAATAGCCTAGCCAAAGCTGGCTGGGCCTGCTGACCATATTTGTTATTTTTTAATGGTATCTCTTTGTTGTTGCTAAAGCCATATGCCAGCAATTAAGCACTTTAATAACAAATAGTTAATTATACAGGAGTGAAAATCTCTTCTAGAAGAATACTTAAGTCTTTCAATACAGACAATTAATGCAGCTGACCTTGTCCAGTCTTTTCAAGGATATCTCAGCCTGCCCCCCCCCAATTAATCATTCCTGTAATGCAAGAAAAACTTCATTCTTTTGAAATCATTGAATAAATCATTGAATAAAAATTCTTTTGAAAAGTGTGTTTTTTATCTGCAGAGATAGAGAACGAGCTACCCAAGGTAAGTTCCCTCATCTGCAACCAACGGCTGCAAAATTTCTGTTGCTATGGAGATCCTGCAGAATAAGAAAAGGCCACAAGGAATTGTTTAATCTTTGTCTGGGAAGGATTCATCTTCTGAAGCCCTGCTTCATCTTTCTAGGTTGGTGCTTGTTTGAATTATTGTCTGAATGACACAGAAGTCATTTATTCTGTACAGACTCTTGTGATTGATTGCCATTTATGACCTTTCAAGGGGGCTTCCAGTCAGCGAAATCAATGGGAAGCTGGATTCACTTAACATATGTGTAAATTCACTTAATGACCACAGCAAAAAGTTGAAAAATCAGGTGTGGCTCACTTAATGAGTATGTTAATTAATGACAGAAGTTCCAGTCCCAATTATGGTCATAACTCAAGGACTACCTGTACTTTATATAAGAACCGGCTGCTACTTACCAGATAGCAGTGGCTGGCACAGTCCATGTCATATTTCCAACTCCTGAAGTATTAGACAAGCACTTATTGAAACAATGCTAACTCAGAAAGTGGTTTGCCGAATGTCAGTTTAGTGTTGGAGACATTTAATTTAACAAACCATTGGGCTGCTTTGTATGTAACTCCTGGCTTAGCATCATCTTCAAATTGAAGATTGATTTCAGAGAAGTGGTTTCAAATCTGTAGTCAGCCAGAAAGTTCATAGAGGGATTTTATGCTTTGCCTGACATTTCACAAATGATAGTTATGAGGAAATATTGGTTGGGGGATGTTTCTCCCTGCATTTTACTCTTTCCTCTGTGCAGAAATCATTGAATAAAAATATAGTAAACATCTAACTGTATAGAAGCAGAGCAACTGTATGTTTTTCTTAGCAAATATATGACCAGATATTGGTGAATGTTTCCTGCATACATGCACAATTATTCTGCATAATAATGCAGCAAACAAACATGCCACAGACTTACCAATTCCTGGAATGAGTTCACAGTTAGGAAGGCGCTTGGGCGGCAGTTCTCTGTCAGCAAACAGCTTCTGCCTGCAAGGAGAAGCAGTAAAAAATTGCTACATAAAATGGACAAATAAAATTGGACAATGCACCACACAGCAAATGTAAAACTACTTTTATTGAGATTGGCTATAATGACAGAATCTTGCAAGTTTTGTGCTGTACCTCTTCCTCCTTACAGTTCAGTAATGCTTGAATTACATTTGCTTGAATTACTTCAAGCAGAGAGGATAAAACTAGATTTGTCCCATTTTGAATAAGCCTCGGCTCTGCTTTCTCCTACTTATATGGGGGGGGAAACAAAGTAATCTTATGCATAGAATTCTATTCATTAAATTAAAATCAAACAGATTAAAACAGAATAAAAAAAATCAAACAGAAAGTTCAGTAACGCTCAATAACATTGTATATGATTAATATACAAGGAAAAGGATAAAAGCAGGAAGGCTCTTAATATTAGTATTAACATTACAAATTAAAGCCATTGGAATTCTCAATACAAGTTCATTTTGCTCTTGTGCTCGGGTTCCCTCCTGTGGCAAAAAGAAAAAAGAATTAAAAGAGTTTGGAAAAAACCCAACACTTTTAAAAACAATTTTGAAAGTTAATTTCAGCCAAACCAATATGTGACTCATAGGAAGCAAACTTAATTGTTCTAAGGATTCCTTTTATCTCTCAGCAACACAACTGCGTTGCATTTTTTGTACTTTTATATAGACTAATCTTTGCTAATTTTTTTTAAATGAGATTCTTATTTTCTTCCTATGCACACACACACTGTGGTTACCAATTAATGTTCTTTGCCTAATAACGTTAACTCAATAAGGCAGCCTTTGCAATTTTTTCTATAATTTTCAACAAAAGGCAGGTTCATTGAGTGACTTGGCTTTTGACTGTGGCAACTGTGTATTAATCTCTATTGTTCCTTGCTTCCCTTACATATGCAATATTGGTAGTACAGTGGTGTATTAAACAGAGAACTATACAGCATTTGGAGATGGGAGAAAAGGAAATATGTTTATTAAACAAACCAGGCTCTATATTTTTGCAGGACATTCAGCTGGTGAAGTATCAAGATTGCATTTAGCTTCACAGATATTTGGCTCCTTTCCTTTATAAACCTGTCACCAATCAATAGGGTAGAATGTTTTATTTGTATTTCTCAACACAAGCTGGAAGGAAAACTTTTTCACTGTCAGTTTTAAGTTTGGCTTTTGGATGGGAAGTGCACAAAAAGAACCCCACAATTATATGATGCTGTAATTGCAAGCAATTAACATCTTAACCTTGAGTTCATGTCACCAAAACTGTAATTGAAGAAATGCTCCCCCAGAAATGGCAGCCTTGTACTTGAAAATGGGGAAGGAATGTCTGACTTAGCATCTCTCCCAGATCCTGGAATCTTGCTCTAGTTGCAAATGAGCATCATCAGAGAAAGGAATCCAATTTCTGGAAGATAGCTGAGATTTGCAACAATGGTTAGCAAAGAAATATTGGGAAAAGTTTAAGCATTATGTTCTTTACATTTTGTGTGTGTGTGTGTGTGTGTGTGTGTAAACGGCATACATGGAGGCAGGAGTCTGAAGATGTAGGATAGGGCAGTTTTTAAATAGCAAATGAGCACTACTGTATTAGGCTAACAGGCTTTCTATGCTCAGCTACTGGTCAGAAAGCTATTAATTGGCAGCTCTTTGTGAGTTCAACAAATCAGCAATTTTAAGATGTTTTTACTTCAACTTCCAGAATTCTCTAGTCAGCATTGGCTGGGGAATTCTGGGAGTTGAAGTCTATTTGTCTTAAAGATGCTAAGGTGTTGACAAACGTTGATAAACAATCATGTTTTCAAATCTGTATTCATAGCATTCTGATATCTGAATATATCTGTCAGCACATCCCAGATCAATCTCAAAGTCATTTTAAACTGGATTCAAGGGATTAGGAGACAGAAAGACTGGTTGTCTAAAAAAGGCCCTACTGTATTAAGCTAACTTTTGTAAAGTTTTATATTTACAAAACTTTAAACAGCAAAATAAAATCCTTTAAATACATAAAAGTAAGGATGTTGTTTGCTGTTCAAGCATTGTTAATGTTAAATTACTACAGAGAGTGTCATCTATAGGTAAGAAAAAATTTACATGAAAGCCACAGCAATTAGCCACTAATTAGCAAAGTGATCTGTGTTGTGAGTACAAACAATTTAAAATTTCACTTTTAATTTTATTCTTCCACCAGCTAGAGATGACGAGCTACATTTTACAAGCTTCTTCCCAATCACCCCCTCAGAGTAAGCTAAAAGAGCTTTTCCTCACTGGCTCTCTTCTCTATTTGTTAGACTAAATCTCCCATTATCCCCAGCCAAAATAATTATCTGGCCAGAAAAAGCTGCTCTTCAGGCTTAGTTGTACAGTTAAAAATTGAAAGCCACTCCTTCTTGTATGCAAATTAACTCCCCACTCTGGGCAATAGGGCTTATGATCGCTGAAGCCCAACCCATGTAGAAAGTAAAGATGTAAAATGACAGCTATTCCACTCTGATAAATGAAATGGCACAAGGAGAACCACATATCAATAAACCACATCTGTAGCGGCCATGTTCACACACATGCGAGTGTGTGCCTGCTTCCCGCCCCCCCCCCCCCGCCCACTCATTTCATAGACAATCTTGCTGGATGGTCTAGCCGAGATCAGCCAGAATGGAAACAAAAATTACATTATCAATTACACTTTTCAATAATCAGGAATTTAGATGAATATGCATGCATTAAACTTTCTGCCAAGATAGCAAGAATTTTAATAGTAATTCCCTTATAAACTTGTACAAAACCTGCATATGTTTTATTAGTCATAAACAAAAGCTTGTTAATTTCAGACTCATTTTTGAAAAGGCACTAAATGCTCCTGCTTATTAAGAACAAAATTCTGAAAAAGCCAATATAGTCTGGGTTAAAGTACCAAAACAGAGAAATGCAGATAGGGAAGTCACAAAGAGACTGGAATGGACAGGTCCTCTCCAGCAAACCCAGGGAAGAAATTGGGGAAAGAATAATTCTCAAAGGAAAAACAAAACATAAATATAATATTGAATTATGCTATTAAAAGCCACATTCTTGAGCTGGCTGCAGCAGCAGGAATGGGACACTTTGAAACCACTTTTCAGAACTACTCGAGGAAGAAAAATTACAAAATTCACCCAAAATCAAGTTACAATAAAAGGCACTCCCATGCTTCTTCCTATTTCTCGCCAATGCAATTCCTCAAAAGCAAACTGAAAACAATTCCTTGATCTTCATTTCTGCGAAAGCCAAAATGTTAAAAAAAAAGCAAATAATATTATGTAAGTACTTCCCCACCTGAAATGCTATAGAAACAAAATTGCTGTGGTTAAAAAAAAAATAAACCCTGCAAACATAAAATGATTTTTGTTCTTAGACACCATCCACAACCTTACACACAGGGGCAGTGTCTACAAAGGGATGCTACAAGGATGATGAAAGACTTGCTATAATTGGGGAAACAGACTTTACACACAGTGTTTCAAAGGGGAAAAAACAGCTTTGCTATAGTTTCAAATATACCAAAATAATAGGTTAGCTACTTGTGAGATGTATTGCCGGGGGTGGTATGAAGAATAGTCAATAATTCTCTTATTACTACGATATATACAAACATGTGAAATCACAGGTAAAACCAGTTCTTTAATTAGATTAGATTTCATAGTCATTGAGTTCTTTTCAACCTAAAATGTTGCAATGCATTGGTATAATATATTTTAATAATGCTGAGAAACATTGAACTAGATGGCTTCGGCTATAGGAAAGCCCCTGCAATTAGAAGGCTGGATTAAAATGAACTAAATTCAGAACTAAATCCAAACTCACTAGACACCTTTAAATTCTTTTTTCATTGACAAACTACCCAACAAAGTTACGATAATAAATATTAGAACCCAGCGAAGTAAACTGCACCTGTCTTGCGGTCCTGGAAGAAAAACATGCATAACCAAAAAGAAAAAAAAAAAGCGCGCGCGTTTACTCCAAGCCACTTAGTAATTTCACAGCAAGCATTACACCGCATGATTGTACAGACTTAACTTTTAAGAAAATAAGCACAAAATGCTCAAAAACAAGCCACACGCATTGGAACCTGATCTCAATTGAATGTATGGAAGATTACTCTTGCCTCTTGCATTCAAACAGGTTGCAGCGCTGAAGACGAAAGAGAGGGGGGGGGGAAAGACGAGTATCTGCTCAAATTAAACAAGTGAAAATCGCCAAAATTGGCACGGAGAATCACGCGGAGTCTACATAATTTCATACCGAAGCAAGCCAGTTAAAATCGATGCTATACTTACCGAAATACTATGAGCCTCTCCACGAACAAGGCGGCAAAGACGATGAAGACCGTCATCAATAGCATCAGCTTCCCCATTGCGCAGCCTGATTCCGGTACCCACGAGACGAAAGGACCATCCACCGGCGAGCTCCAGGAAGAAATGTGGTCCCGTAAGTCTCGGTCGGCGTGATATTAAAGAACCAACTACAGAGCACCTCCCTCCGCCAAGAGAACGCCCCAAGGCACACTTCCAAGTTCATCCTTCTACGCCAATCACCATCGGAGCTGGAGGGGCTGAGGCGGGAGCTAAAAAGTTTCGTAGAATCGCTGCTTTCTCCAAGGTAAGGTAAATATGAAGACTTTCTCGGATCATGGCGCTCAGACTCCTGGGCGACGTATTGACGCAGTTTTCCTAAAAACAACAGCTTCCCTCTATCTTCTACTGGAGATTCTCACGATTTCCCAGTCTAGACCTGGGCTCTTTTTCACACTAAATAATAACCTCAGAACAGATATGTTTTATCACACGATATTTCCTAGAATATGCTGCAGCATCCAAGACATCTTATCATTGAGGTCAAGACAAGATGATCTCCCTGGGCCCCATGTATAGAGACAGCCAGGGTGGCAACTGAAATATCCCTCAAAAAAAAAATCTTTACCACAATGATAATTCTGGTATGAAAGGGGTGGGATGAAAAAAAAAATCCTTTTCTAATAAGCTGATTTTCTAGGATGCTGGGTATTGCAACTTTTTGATTTTTTTTTTAAGGGCAGGTGAGCGCTTTTCAAAAGGAGGACCTCAACTGCAGCCATCTTAACCCCCAAATCATAAAAAGACATCAGAATTGCAGTGTTTAAGAATAGTATTTATGGAATAACAACTTCCCACCTTGTTATTTTTAATTTAAGCAATCTTAAAAATTAATTTGGGGTAGTGCAGGGATCTTGCTGGGTGCTGAGGGAGGGGTTTGATTGCTTTACTGGCCCTTTATTGTGGATCACAAGAATTCCCTGCAGAATCTTGGCCCATTTGCACCTAACCACTGCATAAACCAGTCCAAAAAATATCATTTTCCATGGGTCCCCATGTTATTACTGTCATCTCATTCACAGACCATAAGCCAGGAAATTTTGAATTGTGCTTAATTGTAATTCCCCTTTACAGGCAGTCTTCCACTTATAACCACAATTAAGCCCAAAATTCTGTTGCTAAGTGAGATAGTTGTTAAGTGAAGTTTGTTCCATTTTACAACCTTTCTTGCCACTGTTGTTAAGTGAATCACTGCAGTTAAGTTAGTAACACGGTTGTTAAGTGACTCTGGCTTCCCCATTGACTTTGCTTGTCAGAAGGTCACAAAAAGTGTTCACATGACACTTGGCACACTGCAACTGTGTGTCAGTTGCCAAACGTCTGAATTTTGACTTTATGGGACCATAGGAATGCTGCAATAGTCGTAACTATGAAAAATGATCATGTCTCTTTTTTCACTTAACTTCACTTAACGAAGTTACATTGTAACTTCAAATTGTCACTAAAAAAACTGTTGTAAGTCGACGACTAACTGCATTTTGTACCACTCACTGCGGTGGCCTAGCAATTAAGACATTGGACTTGTTGACCAGAAGGTTGGCAGTTCAAGACCCCAGTACTGCATGACAGGATGAGTTCCCGTTCTTGCTCCAGCTTCTCCCCTCCTAGCAGTTTGGTTGGGAAGATGACAGCATTCCATGGACCTCAGAGTATAGCCATGCTGGTCACATGACCACGGAAGTATTTTCAGACACCATGGACTCACTCAATTAGGAAATGGAGCTTTACAGTGTCTCTATAATAGGACACGATTGGACAAGGGAAACCTTTACACAGGTAGTCCTTGACTTAAGGACTACCAAGGTTCCCGTTGCTAAATGTGACATTTGTTAAGTGAGTTTTGCTCCATTTTATGACATTTCTTGCCATGGTTGTTAAGTGAATCACTGCAATTGATAAATTAGTCATCCGATTGTTAAGCGAATCTGGCTTTCTCATTGACTTTGCTTGTCAAGGTTGCAAAATGGGTCACATGACCTTGGGACACAGCAACGGTCATAAATATGAACCAGTTGCCAAGCATCTGAATTTTGATCACATGAGCATGGGGATATTGCAAAGGTCATAACTGTAAAAAATGGTCATAAGTCAGTTTTTTCAGTGCTGTTGTAACTTTGAATGGTCACTAAATGAACTGGTGTAAGTCAAGAACTACCTGTACCTTTTTTTCTATTCATTACCTTGGATGGATGGCAAGTGAGTAAATAGAGGCAACACAGGAAGCAGCAGTTTTCATGCCAGTATTGTTTCCTACTATTTTAGGAATGGTTTGGTAGCACTTCAGCTTAGCAGTGAGAAACATCTCATTGCAACATCTCAACCTCTCACTGCTACAGACAACATCTGGAGGTGGGCCTATGACAACTTGCCATGGCCAACTCACCACAGCCAATTCGCTGCAGCCAACCCACCATGGCCAATTCGCTGCAGGACAGCTTGCCATGGCCAACTTGCCATGGGAGAACTTGTTGGGGGACAAGATTTTCACTAATATCGAAGAAATAGTGGAATAGAATCATTAAAGACAGGATGCCAAAGGAAGGACAAAATGAAATAAGAATGACAAAAATTAAAATATTTTTAAAATTATTTTAAGTAATTAAATTGAATTGTTGAATTCTTCTGTAGTGAATTGTCCTGTCAGAAGTTGGCCATGGCAAGTTGTCCTGCGGTGAGTTGGCTGTTATGAGTTTACTGTGGCAAGTTGACCATGGCGATTTGTCCCATTCTATCTGGAGGCTGCCATCTGATTTACTGTAATTGCTTCCGCTTCAAAATTAGGTTGTTAGGTGGGAATGGGGGGCAAGAATACTTTGAGAATAAAACATTTTCCTTAGTGGGAAAAAGAGAGAAGAAAATTATAGCAAAGCAAAAAAAAAACCATGTTCTTCAATATGTACAATTGTTACGGTTTAGAAATCTAGTCAATGAACAGTTCCCTAATCCAAAGGGCACATAGTATTTCTTATCTTGTATGCTTTATCTCTTTATCTCAGGGCATTACTTTTATGCTAACTCTGCAAGGAAGGTTTTGATGAGTAGGGTTTTTTTTAATGACTCAGCAAGAACTTGAACCTAGAAGTTTAGAACTAAGTCCCACACTGCCCATAAAATGTAACTGTTTCTTAAATGAAACTTTTATGGCCTGGTCAAAAGAATTCAAAACATTAAATGACGAGGTTAACTGCAATGTAACTTTCAGGTGGGAAAGTGAATTCAGGTAGTCCTCAACTTATGACCATAGTTGAACCCAACATTAATGTTGCTATGAGACATTTGTTAAGTGAGTTTTGCCCCATTTTGCGACCTTTCTTGCCACAGTTATTAAGTGAATCATTTCAGTTGTTGAATTAAGTATCATGGTTGTTAAGTGAATCTAGCTTCCCCATTGACTTTGCTTGTCAGAAGGTCGCAAAAATTGATCATATGATCCCAGGACACTGCAACCGTCATAAATACAAGTCAGCTGCCAAATGTCTGAATTTTGATCACATGACCAAGGGGATGCTGCAACGTTCATAAGTGTGAAAAATGGTTATAAGTCACTTTTTTCAGTGATGTTGTAACTTTGAATGGTTACTAAATGAACGGTTGTATGTCAAAATATAGCTGTACAGGTCTTTAGTTAGATGGGCGTAACTAGTTCATGCATGGCTTAATATGATACAGGCAACATTTATGGCTGGTATTAAAGGTTCAAATCCTTTTCCTTTCAGTTAGTTCATTTATTTATTTATTTACAAAGAAATAGGTGAGATGTATTTCTGCAGGTAAACCAGCCTTTTGCAATCTGATTATTGTCTAAAGAGTCCCATGATATACGTGTTCTAGTCTAAGAGTTACCCTTGAGATTTTTGCAATGCTTTTCTTGCAGACCGAACATTAATTAACTAGACACATCTTAGTTTAAGGTACTAATCTTACCATCTTATGCCGTTAATTTATGATTCAATATTTTATGCAAATCCAGGGAGTTGGGTTCATTGAACAACAGGTGACCCAGTTAACTGTATTGTGCAAGTTTTTGTCAGTTTCAATCTAGCCTATTTTACAATGTAACTGGGAAGCTTGACAATAGCAAGATTCCCCCCTCCCAAACCCTTATCTCAGCACCCACTTCCATGAAGCTAGCTTGTCCTAGGGTCTTCCTTTTAGAACTGTGTGTACTATATTGTGCTGTAAATATTAGATACACATGAAACAAAAATAAATGATGTTTGATCTTTGAGCTGGTATAAAATGTGCATATTCAGACAAATTCATATTTTATTATTTCATAGAATTCATGACCGAATGTTCAAATTAAACTTTCTTCTACAAACTAACATAGAATTGAGAAAATATGCTTCCTTTTATAAAGAGTGGAAAAATATTTGCCCTTTTAAAAAACTAAAAAGGCTGAAGAAATATAATTTCTCCTTATTTCTGTACAGGAAAGCTATTGGCTACCCTTTTCCATCTTGTGCAAAAGATTGGAGCCGGAGTCTTGTTTCATGCTATAGTAGACGCGGAAAGCATATTCAGACAGATAAAAAGTGATTTGACAGAGAAAATGAGAGGGGTTTAATTTTTATTCTGTTCCCAAAGTCACACAGACATGTATCCTACTTCTTGTCCTGCGCATATTATTTATTTATTTTATTTATATCTCGCCTTTATTATTTTTATAAGCAACTAAAGGTAGCAAACATATCTAACATACTTTCTTTCTCCTATTTTCTCCAAAACAACCCTGTGAGGCGGGTTAGCTGAAAGAGAGTTGATTGGCCCAAAGTCATCCAATCAGCTTTCATAGCTATGAAGAGACTAGAATTTAACAGTCTCCTGGTTTCTAGTCTGGTTCATGATTAAATTTCCAAAAATTCTTTATTCAAATATTTTTATTTCTGTCTTTGCTTCCTTTTTGAGATGAAGTTTGAAAGACAATGTGTTACAGGTAGTCCTTGACTCACAATCACTTGTTTAGTGACTGTACTTACAATGGCACTGACTAAAATGACTTATGACTATTTTTCACTCTTACAATCACATACAAGCAGCATCCTTTTGGTCACTTGATCAAAATCCAGACACTTGGCAACTGGCAT